AATAAAATCGCAAGAGCGTGGAAACGCCTAATGCTGCTTAATATTTTTACGTAATGGGTATGTGGCGAAATTAACAAATCCATGTAGGTACCTATATATTTTTTTACTGTTTTAGTTCTAAGGGAAAAAAATCATGTATATAATATTCATAATATTATATAAATCTTATATGTCGTTATACGATTTAGCCGGAAAATTCGCTGTTAGCTTTCTCGGTAAATGATGAATATAAAAATAATGAACGCAACGATGACCGTTAAAAAAAAAAAATGAAAAGGGCGTATCCACGGCAACGGATGCGGAAAGGCGTTGCTATTATCACGCTGGCTGCTGTCCCACCGCGCACTGTTACGCGTCGCCATGGCAACTGGACTTAGGACACCTTCAGACAATGGTGTCAGGAGGCCCTACGACTCTGCTGCACACACAATTTTACTTTGTGTATACGTGTATGTATATATATATTACATATAGCTGTGTGTGTGTATGCTTATTGAAAAGCGCCTAGGGATAACATCGGGGTTGGAAACTTGCTAAATTAGTCGGCCGCATCCTGATCCCTTTTGTCCTTTCACCATGCGCGTAACTCGTCTCCAAAAAGCTTCTCATCGTATACAATATAATGTATATATATTATATATATATTACTAAGCTTAGTGGGACTGGGGAGGAAAAAGACCGGAGGATATATATATATATATATTCTTCAGCACAATGCAAATTAACACGAGATGTAGTAAAGATATACACGATTTTATTTTCATACTGAGAAGCTTTTTATATTATATTTTCATAATATTATCACGATACAATTAATATATATGTATAAATGTAGTATAATATATAATGTATTATAATTSCTCCTTTACACATAAATACATTCGTGCTCTTTGTGGTGTAATTAGTATACATTTGTAAATGAAAATACTTTTATGCTTCTCAAATATTGGATGCGCATTAATTATGTTTTTTTTTTTTTGTTTATTATTCTCTTTTTTGTTCATCAAAATGTTCGTAATTTTGACGAAACAAATAAAAATAATTTATAAGTCTATATATTCTTAACGTTACAATTTTAATTGTTTGATGTCAAATTCAATCAAATGTCACATAATGTTTTTAATTAGTACCTATTTTCTCTCACTCTGCATTTTGATTTTATATGTTGTGGTAGGTAGGTAGGTACTTGATTTCTGCGTACATTTATATATACTCATGCTCTTTTCACAAGAGATTTACATTTACTATAGAAGTTATTGTATTATTTAATATAGCTTATAATGCTAGTTTCTTGGCCCGCGTGATTTACTAAAGTATAATGCGATGATTAAGGAATCACAACCAATGAGTATATAGTTTTTGTATAATTAAACATGTGTTTCGCAATATTTACCGACATAATTGTTTGTAGCTAATAATGATATTGAAATGTTATTTAAATATATTATTATTTTTGTCATTAGTACAATAGTACCTACATAAACTCTACCTAGGTATTAAAACAAAGTGTGTTCACTAATCAGTTATCATCGTTGTTATTTATTTTTGTGTTCTTTTTAGTAAATTTTTTAATGTATGGTTTTCAACAGTAGATATCTTGGTTAAAAAACTAGTTATAATATGCTATAGGTACACCATGAATTTTTATCATGTGAAAAAAGCTTCATTCTATACCTAAATTTTCATATTAATTAAACGATATTGTTTACATTAAATTTATACATTTTCCCGGTAAAATATAAAAAACATTTAAAAGTTAAATTCATTATATACGTATTTAATTTGTATTCCTAAATAGTTATTAGTAATTAATATTAATAAAATAATAATATAATGTAGTGTTATATAATTTATATTTTCGTGCTTATTTAATATACTCATTTTATAATATTTTAGTCAAGAATAAAAACATTTTTTTTTTTACATATTATATTGTGTTTTAATTACATATTTGGATAAAATTAAATACATATATATGTACATATTTTTGAATATTTAATACATACAAATCCGCACTCTACTAATTATATACATATCTTTACAAATATTTACTGTAACATTCGTTTTATTTGAATTTGCTAAATACTTATTCCCGGTAAATGGAGCCATTGGTTTTATTCCGACAATATTCTTATTTTTTTGCGATTAACTATTTCTTTTGTGTCTTAATAGCGTGGGTAATTCCTTTTGTTTATTTTTTTTCTTTCGGCACTCGTGACTTTG